GTCTTCAGGCACATTTGGCTCAGTATTTTTTATATTTCAGGACTTTGGTTCATGACTACATCGCCTACAAATAAAAAGCAGTGCTTTGAGACAGTAAATACATCCCATGCTTCAGTAGCTAGTAGAATCACCTTTATCAGCAATAACTTGAAGTAATCAGTGTCCGTTTGACTTTATTAGTCTCTCACATCATTCTGGAGGACTCTTGGCTCGCTCTTCTCTACAGTATAAAGTCTTTCCACAATATTTTAATAAGGTTGAGGTCTGCACTTTGACTGGGACCTGAATTCTTTTCGTTCACACATTCTGTTGTAGATTTGCTGCTTGTCTTGGGTCATTATCATCATTGCCTCACATTTGACTCTACAGTACTCTGAATATGGAGGAGTTCATATTCGACTCATAGACTGCAAGGTGCCCGGGTTTTATGGCTGAAAAAAACATCACAAATCATCACACCTCCATCACTATCTGTTGGTGTGAGGCGTTTGTGCTGCAAAATGTGGTGCTGAACATCATGACCAGACATCTTCACGTTGAGTTTGTCTGTTGCAGAAATCTCTTGGTTTGTTCAGATGAAACTTTCTGCAATGTTCTTTTGGAGAGAAAAGGCTTTCTCCTGGCAATCTGTCTAAACAAGCCAGACTCACTCAGTCTGCTTCTAATTGTACTGTCATGAACTTTAACATTTTAACATCCTAAATGAGGCTGGAGAGTCTGCGATGCAGCTCTTAGGCTTCTTGCAATTTCCACAGTCTGACTTTGGGGTGAATTTGCAGGATGTCCACTCCTGGGAAGATTGTGGCACTGTTTTAACACATAACCGAATGCTCCAGATCAGCAAACAGCCAACTTTAGCTTTTACACTGTGCTGATCTGAACATTTCATGAGGAAGGTGCTGAGAGAATGTGCAAATTTTTTTGTCATCACATTATGAAAACATCCAATTTGAGTTTATGTACGTAAGTTCGCCATTTAAACAAATCTACAGGACATTTTTTATAGAAAATCTGCCAAAATACTTCTAACTTGATTTTTTTCTAAGTAATATAATGTGTATGTTATATACCAAGTGGTACTTTATTACACTTTGGCTTGACTTGGTTAACAGTTCAACAGTCTGTTGGACACTTTCATTTTGTGAGCTTGTAGGACTGTCACTTGCTTTAAATCCACTTACCCTCTTGCAGCTGTTTTCCTCTGTGCTCCCTTTCAGCCTTGCTCAGGTTGGGAAGTGGCAGTTCCCATCTCATAAGGTTAAGTGCATCCTGACATTTTGGTTTCACTGCTTAAGACAGCCTTTCGTTATCCGAAGCCATCTCCTGTCCAAGCTCATCCAGAGTGACAGGACTACTTTTGGCTTTCTCATTTTCTTCATCCATATAAATGTTTGGAGATAATTTTAGAGAACTCAGTTAAAAGAGGCACGTGCAGCCTAATTTGAACCCAAGATTATGTGGTATTTGTCTGAGGATCTCAGCTGTCTGAACACTTCTTTTGCATCTTAACTTATCTTTGTACAGAAATTCAGTTTTCTGTGATTTGTTTTGATTTCTGCTCAACATTTATCTATGACCTCAGAAATCCCAAAGGCCATAGCCATCTTACTAATTGTGGCATGTTTAATTCTGTATCCTGAATTACATGATCCACAGACAAATTCAGGCAAATGTGACCTCTTTTCAGAGATCTTTGTATATTCACTGTCTAATTAATTTGACACTGTGAAGGCCATTAGCTTTCAAAACGATTACTTATATAAAGTCTAGCTAGAATGTTAAAGGGAAAATCTGACTTCTGCCCTTATTAGCCGTCAGTGTGCATTCAAGCAGCAATTCTGACCTAAAACCTTTTCTGCTTTAATGACTGGGGCAAAATAAAAATAAAATAAATAACTATTAAAATGACTAAGATGATTGCTCATTTTTACACTAGATCGCGTTTCTGCATGTATGCAGTAATAAAGCTACATACAATTACCACCTGGCTTTGGAGTTATTGTCAGTTTTACAGAACATTATAAAGTTATGAGCTTGATTAATTTATTGTTTGACCCTCCTTTTACTATTTCAATGCTCCCATAGCAGTATGCATCTATTTTTCATGTCTAACAAATCTCATCTGTACTAACTGCCCAGCATTAAATGGTAGACGATAGATGCTATCTGATGAACATACTGAAACATGTGGGACGTGTAAAACTACAAACAAACAGCTAATATGTATTTATATATATGTTAATATTTATTTACTTGATTTGCAAAGAATCAGCTGTTTGTTTCTGGTGTTCACAACTTCAGTCTGATACTGAAGCTTTTCAAACAACAATCAACATATTTGACAACCAAACATTGTTAATAGTTTTTAAATCAGATTTTTTCTCAATTCTGGTTCAAACCTAATACATATGGTTGCCTTTCTTTTTTTTTCATGTCTTTTTAACTTCATCCATGTCAAAAATATATGAACGTCCAAGCATGTAACAGTATGTAAATAACAGAAAATGAGGAAAATGTACACCATTATCGAGATGCCTTTGCTGAGCTCAACAAAAAAGAAGCATTTCATTAAAAATACATTTCGCAGTAAGAGAGCCTTACTCTGCTGCACAATGAGCTGAAGTATCAAAAAGCACACTCAGGAAATGTAAACAAATAAATTGCACATAAATAATATATTCATTTTAAGGGTCTGAGCTGGTGGTTCAGCATAATATCTTCAAAGACTGTCCATTACGCTGGGCGATCCATCCAATCATTGTCAGACTGATCTAGAGACAAAGTGAAGCTACCACAAATATGTACTTGTATAACCAGCAGTCTGTCCACCTTGTACTGTTCCTCATGGTAGGGAGCTCAGGGATTCTCTAAAAGTTTGCAAATCAGTCATGGAAATCAGGCCTGTATTTGTGTTCATCAATAAATTACAAAATAAACAGAATATAAAACTGTAGAGTCACATAATTTCACATCTATCAACAAGGAAATCCCGCATTGTTGAATTTTTACACTTTTTAATTTTATTCACTCAGTTAACATGAAGCAATGATGCTGATGCTGCTTATTTGTTAAGGAAAACGTTTTTGGTATAAACTGAATGTATACCAATTTAGTAAATTTCATTTAACCAGATTCCATTAAATGTAACGTTTTACATTGTACTCGTAGCAAAGTTATAACCAAATTAGTTCAAGTCATTATTTTGGGCAGAATTTCTTTTGAGTGTGCATAAAAAGTTGTTTTTTTTAGTCATCTTTTTATTTTATCTTTTTACTGTTTCGTCATGGTCAAATCACATGTCAGATCAGTTTTTCATTTGTTTGTTTCTAAAACATGAATGGGGAAATACATGCACGACTACTATAGCTATTATGCCTTGGTGGAAATGAAGCACGTGTAATCCATCACAAAAACCTGAATTAATATTTGGACTTGAAATGCAGTTTCCTTTTCAAAATCCTCACTTCTTCTTCAAACACGTCTACCTTTACTCACATGCGCACGCACAGAGCTCCCACCACCAGCACACACATTTAATGCACATTTGCATACATGGACAAAGCTTTTCTGAGCCTTTAGAAGTTGGAGTCTTTCTAAGTACTTTACTGTTCCACAGAAACTTTACAGTACATAGGAGAAGCAGCGTACAGTGTGACACAGAGATGAAGACAACATACATTTCATGGCTTTTCTTTTTTGGCTCGATTGAATTCAGTCGCTCAGAGTTTGCTCCTTCCAAACAGTCACTCTGGTCCTTATCTGTGTAGAAGCTTTTCTTGCTCCAAGAAATAACAATGATGTCTCTCTCATATTAAATAGATTTCCCAAACTTCTTTTTTAGTTCGTCTTAGGTGTGGGAATTCTGGCACATCGCAATGTCTGGAAAGGTGGGGGTGGGGGGGTCTTTTGTAGGATGCATGCACAAGTCTTTATAATTGAAATACTGTAGGTATCTAAAGGTCTATGCACAGATATTTAATGTATTTAAAAAAAATCACATTTATCAAGATGGTATTTTTTTGCACACACTCTGACTATTATCTATTGTTTTTGTTTTGCCTTTTTCGCTCCATTTCTTTTCACTGGATATGCCAGTTTTAATCCACGCTTGTCTTTTTTTCAGGAGCACCGTCTGAATTTGATGAGCTTTTGGAAAGCCTGCTTGAATTCGTCGTTGAAGACGGTGTAGATGACAGGGTTGATGAGGGAGTTCAGGTATCCCAGCCATGTAAAGATGTCAAACAGCACTGGATCAAACCAGCACTCTTTGCATATCGCCATGACAAGCGTGCCAACAAAGAAGGGAAGCCAACAGACAATGAACGCGCCCAGGATGATGCCCAGTGTCTTGGTTGCTTTCCTCTCCCGTGCTGCACACAGACGTTTCCTCTCCAGCACGTTGTCTGCCAGCTTGACTTTCACGCTGTTCATGAACAGAGGCGACCCTCCCCCTCCCCCTCCTCCTCCCACACCTCCCGCATTGCCAGAGTGTAGGTGTGCTTCGTGGTGGGAGGAGGAATTAAGAGAACAGAGAGAGGACCCTGCAGAGGTCTGGATTAGCTGCGCTGTGGTGAAACGCTTCCCAGACGACGACGGTGTCTTAAAAATGCGAGAGCGGGCTGCGACGTAAATCCGACCGTAGAGGATGATGAGAAGCACTGTGGGAACGTAGAAGGCGCCGAAGGTGGAGTATAGGGTGTAAGAGATCTGATCTGTATTCACCATACACTCTGTAAGCTCCTCATGGGCTTTGGCCTGCCGCCAGAAAAGTGGAGGCATGGAAATCGATATAGATATCACCCACACCACCCCAACCATGATCCCTGCACGGCGCATGGTGCGGCGCTTTGAGTACTCCAGCGCGTGCGTGATAGCCCAATAGCGATCCAGCGCAATTACACACAGGTGCAAGATGGAGGCGGTGCAGAATGTGATATCAGATGACAGCCAGATGTCACAAACAATCTGCCCCAGCGACCAGGTCTTGCTGACAGTGTACACGATGCTAATTGGCATGACTAAAATGGAAACCAACAGGTCTGTGACGGCGAGGGAGCCAATTAGGAAGTTGGCAGGTGTGTGGAGCTTCCTGGTCAGAAAGATGGTGGCGATGACAAAGGCATTTGAAAGGACAGTAGCCAAGGTGACAATGGCTAACAGAGCAGACAGAGAGACCTGGAAACCGAGGAGTGTGGCCTCGCTCCAGGGTGGTGCTGTAGTGGTGTTAGGAATCTCTGTGAAGTTTCTAATGAAGTAGTCCAGTGAGCTGTTGTCCAGCTCCATCACGCCTCCACTCTGTTAAACCTGCTTTGAATCCAGTCTCATATCTATAATCTACAAGTGTACACGGATCAGTTCAGGTGTAACACTGAAAAAGGCCATGATGGTGTGGCACTGATGGTTTTGACCAGAAGTCCGCCTTTTAATGTTCTTTTTTCTAACTTTTTTGAAACCGCATTTGTAAACGGATCTCTCCGTAATTCATCAACCCTTTTATTCAAAAGAATTATTTCATATTAACCGTTAGCAAACAACTCATTCCACAGTTTTGGTTTAGAACTAATGATACTGATGATTAGTTGGCATGAATCAGAGACGAATTTGACCATTTCTCCACTTCAGTATTGATTCGCTTAACTGGTGTAGCTGCAGGAGGGCAAAATCCTAATTTGTATTCATCTCCCGTCAGAAAGGCACGTCTTGTCTCTCTCGTTTCCCCACGCTCTTATCTCATCTCCAACCAGCAGCCAGCCAGCAACCACACCTTCAGACCAAGCTTTTCCTATCTATCAAATGCTTTAATGGGCTCCTCCTTTTCAATAAAGCAAACCAGGGAACTGTGCGTAGGAAGATGATGACAACAGATACAAAGGTTTGCTTGCTCTCTCTCTCTCCCTTATCTTTTCTGAAGTCCACAAGAAAGCTTAGTCAGGTTCTGACTGTAACTTGGCTTTGCTCCCTATTTCTAATGATGTTGGGAAGCCAAAGCACTACAGTTACAGGATCAGCATCAAACCAAGGAAAAACTTATAAATGTAGCTCATGGGTAATTCTTCAACATCCATATCTCTCTTCTCACAGCATCGCCTGTCAGACAGATGTTGCGAGGTTTTGTCAGATTTTCATCCAGCTTCTTCCGAGGCATTTTCTTCCTAGGTGAGACAAATGAGAGAAAAATGATTAGAAATGTTGTATTTTGCAGTGCATCATCCTGTGCACCATATTATTTATATGAACAGAGACATACACAGACAAACCACCTGGAATCACCGCATGTGAATAAACTGCAAACTCAACTGTGATTTCTGAAAGGAGTATCGTGACTTGATCCATGGATTAACACCCACACTCCTGTTGTGTAGTTGTAAGATTGTCAACAACTACATAAAAACGATATTCTCTCTCCAATAATTGCAGCACAAATGAATATTTCATGGAAAAAATGAAAAAAGTTTCTTCAAAAGTCAATACTTTTTAAAGTATTTACTTTTTTATTCACATTACTCTGAAGGGAGATGGGAAATTGGAGTGTAGCGGTACAAAGGGAAATATTTCTTCCAGGCAACAGTAACAGAACATTATCACACGATGGAAGCTGACTCAATTTCAAATACAACAAAAGAGATAGGAACTGAAATGTGGAAAAGTGGCGTTATGTCCCAGAAGGAACGAAAACTTCAAATGTCTGCTAATCACAACCCTCCAGCTTTCCATCCATGTATTACGTTTGCTTTCATTTATTATTGAAGAGCAACAGCATGATTTACTTACCACTTATAGCGTATGTGGCAAATTGTCATGTAAATCTTTATTCTTGTCAGGTACTGTGAAAAAGCCACATTGTAAAATCTCAGCTGAGTTTTGTGTGGGAAGTGGGTTTTATTCATTTAAACATGAAATGATTAGGGAGAGGAGTTACTAGCAGAACAAAGTCTGCAAAGTTGTTAATTATTTTTAGGGATTTTGTTGATTTCATTTTTCACACATCAACCAGCTTTGAAGTGATTTCGAAGCGTTAAGGAATGTGGTGGCTGGAAAACAAACAACTGCGTTTGCCACGCTAATTACAAATGTTTGCCTTTTCACATTTAACACATCCTTCAGCTTGCACATTATTGCTGTTAAGACCGATTTCCAAGTGTATGTTTGTTCCTGATACAACTCCACAAATCACCTCCATTAAGTGAAGTGTTGATTGGCAGCTGGGCTCTTGAGAGGGATTATTGTGCTTGGGCTGTGACAATAAATTGGCATATTAAGTAGCAAAGGAAACATTCTTGGTGTCTCGGTGCCAGTCTCACCAGTCTTGATGCATTCATTTGCAAACTCTCAAGCGGCCATGACCATTTTTATAATTCATCCTCAGTACAATTTATAAAGGTTTGTTTTTGCAGTGTTTGCTCTCATATGTGCTGTTTTCTTAAGAACCATCAGGTAAAACAAAAACTGTTCACTCATTAAATTAGATGAACACGAATTTCAGGACAATCAAACCAGTTGTTATTGAGACATTTAGCTAAAAACAACCATCATCTGAGGACCACGAATGACCAAATTTATTGGCAGTGCATCTAATATTTATTAAGGTGTTCCAAACAAGACTAGAATGGTGTATCTAACAACCAGCGCTGACTTCCACAGAGCTCCACAGGCAGCATGACTCAAAGTGAATCATATCCAAACACTGAGACAATAAAGGTCAGCTGACTCTAATCTGAAGTTCCTGTGTTGTGTCTTTCTACCTCTGATGGGAAAATAGGAAAATACATTACTAATCAGTTTCTCTTTCCTGTAACTGATGGTGTCTCTTTAACAACATTTCAACGAATGCCGCAGCACAACAGTAAATGTGTCACAGTTAGCTATGTGGAATGGCGTACTTGTGGATTTACTACTGTAGCTGGTTAGACCCCTATGAAAAAATAAAAAAATTTCAAACAACCTAAAACATCTAAACAACACAAGGAACAACAATCAAGGTGCTGTGTATTGTATGATAAAGACAATATTAGAAAGAAAACCCCAACAATCACACAATCTCCTACAGCAAACACTTGGCAACAGTGGAAAGGAAAAACTCCCATTAAACAGGAAGAAAACTCTGAAGCAAGCTCAGGGAGGGGGATCCATCTGTAGTGATTGGTTGGGGATGAGGACTACTATTTTGATGGCAAATAACCATCAGCTGGCAGCCTTGTCTCAGCATCTAATCGTAGTATAGTTCGGTAACAGTTCCAAAATGAAAGTTGATTCGACATCATGGATATTCTCTTAGCATTGATGTGAGGCGACATAGCCGTGATGTCTTCTTAGCAAGAGTAAGTTTAATAAACGAATTGTTTTCTACTGTATATTTACTGTACAAAACCATAGATATATTAATGTATTAAAATTTTGTCTTAAAAAATAAAAATAATACTAGTCAGAGTACGTGGAAAAGATGTGTGAACATGTTAACAACTGTTAATAACCATGTACTAACCACATTAGTTGCCACTGTTTTTTTTTTTTAAATTAAAGACAAAGACATCTCATCCCTTCCTTATAGTGACTTAACCTTCTATATTTTTCTGCTGTGACCGCTATTAAACGTGGAGACAGCTTTGATAGTCATTGGTCTGTGGTTCATTTTTTGTCATTATAAGTGTCCTATGGACTGCTTAGCAAGTATAAGAGTTTTAATTCATCCATTCATTGATCAAACCCTTTAGCCCGTTTCAGGGCCCGGGTAGTCATCAGTCTCCTTGCCTGTAGTTACTTCATTCATCTCCTCCTGTGGGATCCTCCTTTCACTCCAAGGCAGCTAGTGTAAACTGAGATAATTTATTTAAAGTTCCCTCACATCATACAATACAAATTCTTCGTGCTTGCTTTGTTTTGCTCCAAGCCTGGACCATGACATTCGAATAGCTGAGAGGTCAGTCGACTACTGGCTTTCCTCCATCAAAGACGTGTACACTTAAACAGCCAAGAAAAGGGCACAGAGTACTCACTGTACATACAAGCTTATTACTAAAACTGAGTCAGACACACAAGGAATGGTAACCAAGCCCTGCTAATCTTCACTGCAGCTTCATTTAAAATAATCCTTATTAAAAGGTACTGTGAAGGTAAGTACTTGCTGGTTTTGAACATTTTTGCCTTTCGTTTTTTAACCCCAGGGTGAGCGTTGCTACAAGCATAAGCCAGCTGCTTAATAATTAGAAAACTAAAATAATAATTTTTACAAAAGCCTTGGCTATAAATCCAAGTGGGTTACATCAAATTTTTGTTTTGTTTTTTAGGTCTGATTCATGCATGATCCACAACTAAGCAGCCACTGTTAAAACCGTCATACTGAGTCATTAGGATGGCTACTTCTGGCTTTACTGCATATGCATTCTGCCTATCATCATCACTCAGTGTCCACACAGCAGCGTAAACAGTAACATGGTGAAGAAGAACAACAACAGTGACCATGGTTAACACAGAGACAGGAGTTGAGATTCATTCCCAGATGTGCATACAAACACAGCGCTGTCATCCTTGTGTATGAGAGTAGCTCAAGATATTGTTATTCATAGTACACATAAAATATCACCAAAAAAACACGATGTGCACATGTGTCAGAGGTGCTGAGTGAAACATCACACAGCTCACACAGCATGACTACTTTGGAGTCATCCCAGTGCTTCATTGCATCAGCACAGAAGAACTGATTCGTGCGGAGAGTGTCTGGTAATGACGCTTACTCCTAGTGTTGTAATACTGAATGCACCACAGAGTGAGGCTGCAATAAGACTGTTGTGGACAACACTGAATTATTCATTCACTTATCCCTGATGCAAGCTGCTATACTCTAATATGTTTTTAGTGAATGTCACCCCCACACCTACACACTCACAAACACATGTGCTAGTAGCATGTATGATAGATGATTAAACAGCTTATCTGTTTACACATCAGACAAGTGAAGGACAAAGCTTATCTCCTAAGGGCCTGGTTTACAGCACAATGACTTAATGAGATTCATAATGAATGGAAAAGAGGGGAAGATTTTCAATCAAGACCAGACCTTGCCTAAAATTAGCTCTATACTGTTTGTGTGAAAGCGATTATGTCTACATCTGGCTTTGAAATTGAAGGTCTAATGCAGTAAGGCCTGATGCTAAGCTGAAATGTGCATTTATCATCCTTTAAAAAACTTAGTGGGAACAACATCTCAAGATTGCAATAATAAAAAGCAAAAAAAAAAAGTTAAAATTACTCATGTGGGTGTGACAAAAAGCAGAACGGAAGCACCCACAATACTGCATCTCTGCCCAGTTGGAGCCATTGCTCTACATGCCATTCACAAATCAGAAATTTATTAATTTCAGGCTTGAGTTAAGTCCAAGCAGATGCTGCAGCATGTGAGGCAGGCTGGTTGTTGGTCTGGGTGAAAGGGTAATACCCTCCAAATGCAGCAGGCCTGCATATGACGTATGGCCCAGTGTAGATAGGCAAATTGATTTAACCAAGAGGCAGAGCCATTGCTACCTTTGCTGTCAGCTAATGTCTAGTGTTTACTCAAGCATGCACTAAATGGTAGGTGAGCATGGATGTGCTATGTGCCTGAATGTGTGGTGGGCTTATGAGGGTTATGTCTTTCTCAATTTATGCCAACAGAGAAAGACATCTGGGAACCCAGTGATGGTGTAAAATGATACATTCTGAGACAGCAACTGCAGTATCTGTAGAGGTGCATCGCACATGAACTCTAGACAATGACCAAATTTGTACTTGTGTCTCTTTCGTCCTGCCTCCCTCTCTTAGCCCAGCAGATGATTGTCCCTCCTTTACCCTGAGGTTTCTTCCAGTCAAAAGGAAGTTTTTCCTGCCTACTGATACCAAGTGATTGCTCATAGAGGGTGGTCAGATTGTTCGGGTTTCTTGAGGTGAGTGTTGTGATTTGTTGCTATATAAATAAAACTGAATTGAATTGAACTGAACTTGTCCGAGCACATAGCTGGAAATAGTCAACCCAATGTCACCGCAAAGCATGTAACAGACCAGGTCCACCATTTCAATTTCAAGCTTTGCCTCTCCAAGTCGTGAAAAGGACAGGCATGCAGACGTATATGTACCAGCAGGGGCAGATGATATATTTAAGGCCAAGAAGTCGCTAGTGACA